ATGGGAACAAAGAAAGGGTGTTGCCCCACACGTGAAGTTGGAGAGCAGCTGATGATGCTACCTGAGGATGTTTTGGAGGTGTGGAGGAATGTGAACCATAGCCACTGTTACAGTTTGCGCCCTCAATCCTTCTCGTTCTCTCTCTTTCTTCCTCCGGCTGCTTTCTGATCCTGCAGCAGGCGCTTTTGAGATCCAGGACACCTTCCTTTTTTCTCATCTTTCTCTTCTTTCGCCTTTGTCCGAGAGAGTTTGTTTGTTCAAACTAGATGGGGACTCACCGAGATAGGGGAGAGGCATTTGCATTGCTTAACTGAGCTCAGGCACTTCCTCAAAGCCCCGAAGAGCCATGGGAAGGGATAGGAGCCTTTCCAGACACTTTCGGTATGGCACTTTTCCTTTGATCTCAGCAGTGTTCACTGTGCTTTGTGTTGTTTGTGCTGACTTGGATCTGAAGTTGCTTTAGTATTGTTGTGCAACTTGTTATCAAGTTTGTATTGATGATTATTTTACACTTTCTGTCAGCATGTAAAAATACGAAACTCTGTACTGTCCCAAAATCAGAGTCCAGCTTGTGAAACATGATGAGAAAACTGAGAGATTCTAGCAAAGAGTTTGACATCTCCAAATAACTACTGATACTTTGTCTTTATTTTGCCTTCTGTGGCTTTTTTATTTCAACTCTGTACAGATCTTCATCTCTCTACAGCTATGCTATGCGTTTGCAAATTCATAACTGGCTCAGCTGTCAAATTAGCTGATCAGAAGTGGGTCTGACAATAATGGCTCTTGCAATGAGTTTTCCAGCTGATTGCAATTGTCATTCATCCCTCTGTGTGCTGTGTCCTTGATCTACCCCTCCTTCAGGCCTAATTATAGACTCTTCTCGCCCTCCTTATAATTGAGGGCATCCCAAGGCCTACATCCAACTTCTACAGAGGAACGCTGTGACGTTTCTGGTCACTTGTTTAAGCCGGTTTTCAAGATTTTACAAGTGAAATATTCTTTGACTGAGACCGTAACGTGACAGAGAGGTGTTGGAGGTGATAAAGTTAATGTTAATCAGTAGAGCCGGGCCCTGTGGCTGTCATACGTGCACAATAAATGGCCCCGTTCTGCACAGTTTTCCCTGTCTGCCATTTGTCAGAGCAACCGTGGTGATGTATGAGTACAGTTTGGGAAAGTTCTGTGGCCTACATCGCCTGTAAGCACATACTAGCCTTCTTCATTCCCAGTAGTTGCATGACCCTGGCCTAGAAAGAGCTCTAGTTCTCCACTTTCTCTCTTTTCTTGTCTCTGGCTCTGTTATATTTTGCTGGTTGTGTCTTCGTATTTCTGCAACTCTTCTGCCATTCTTCATATGAATTCATCACAACTCTTTCACTAATTACTGTCTTTGTCTTTCATTGTCACTCACTCTGCCTGAAATTGTTTTCTACTAATTTTTGTTGTTGTGTGATGTCTCTAGCTCGAGTCGTTGCAGATTTACTTTTGCTTTACAAAACTGACCCTCGAGATTGCACTTTAGAACAGCCTGGTGTCACAAATTAGCACATTTCAGCCCTTCGGGGAAGTGTTGACTTTATGCAGCATGAACACACCCAGCACTTAATCACTGTCACCTACAAATCTCCCCTTGGCTTTAATTTATATGGCTGTCTGCATAGTAAGCAGGTGCAACTATATCCATTGAAGTTACCATCCTCTCAAGGTGAGCTTTCATGTTTAGTTTTTTCACTATGGTGTCAAACATCATTTCTGTTGCATTTTTAAGAGTTAAACAATGGCACATCCACATTTTACACCCATAGTATGCTGAGAGTGTACTGAGAAAACTAAGATCATATGAGATAATATGATTGTGGTAATATAAAGTCTGTGTGATGGGTTTAAGTTTAACATAGACAGGAGACAAAAGGGGACCTACAATTGATCCCTGTGGAACACCTTATAGTGAATTAACAGTTTTTGACACATGCAGATAGTTACTGTAAAAATGTAACATGCACCCCAGTTAATGTCAAAGTCTTTCTTTTAAAGTCGTGTGATTGACAGTCTTGAATGGAGACCAAGAAACGCAAGGATGCACGGGTATTTTCTTTTTTTTTAGTTTAACCAGGGCTGGTTTTGCTGTGTTGAGAGATCACATGTAGGTGTTGGGAGTTAGGGCTATTGGTGCTGTGATTAGAGGCATCCACATAGTGCTTGTTTAAAGGTGGCTTAATTACAACATTTTCAAGGTTCTGTATGCAACATTCACAGCATTAATATAGCAGTAAACAACTATTTTCTGTGTAAAGATATAGTGGTGTTATGACATCCTGAGCAGGAAATAAAGTCGCGCTATCTCTGTGTGTGTTGTAATCCAAGATTCTCTGTGGTTTGTTGTGGTAAGCTAGTCTGGCCAGGTGCGCATGTTAGTGCATGTATGTATCCCACTGGTTAGCACAGCGCCACCGCTTTGCACTACACTCATACAGCAGTTATCACTGATATCACGATGGTGGCGTCACAGAAGCGTAGTCCTTCCCCTTTTGGTTTCCCCCTGGTTAACACCGTTAACTCTGTTGCCATTCTTCAGCACTGTTTATGGAGTTAGACCCATTAGCTGCTAGCCACCTTCTCAGCCACCTCCATGCTGAGAACCGTGTCCATTCAACACACATGCTCTTAATTTCAAATAGAGCCCCTTAAATGCTGTTTTGATTGCATTATTTGACATTTTTTGTGGCGTAGTCTGCTGTTGTAGAGCTGTAGTTGCTTATGACACAGGCAGCATTTCCACAGATGGGTTAACTCACAAGAAACAGTGAATCAGCAGTTAACTTCCCATTATGTGGCTGTAATGTGTGTGCATGACTTGGGGAAATTGTGGAGGGGACAAACTGTGCTGTTCCTGCTGTGCTGTTTATTTTATACAGTTCAGTACAATTTCACTTGCAATGTACAGCTGTAAATAAGATGCAAGTGTGTCACACTATAATTGGACACAAGACTCTGACGCATGGATTGTAAAGCAGAAAATCTGCCATGTGATATTTATACTCTTTGTGTAATTAAATGCAGCTGATAACTAGATATTATTGATAATCAATTTAATGCTGAAGGCAATTTTTCACTTCTGATGTCTAATAAGAAACTGAAAATAGGTTTCAAAATACGCTGCGGTGTCTTAAAAGTACCAAACTTAGTGTTTGATGAAATTGTGGCTGTATTTTATTCACTGTTTATGTGTGATGAGCACAGTCTATTAGTTTGCATTTGTTGGAGGTGGTTGAACTTTTCTAGCTTTAGGCTCTATGACCTGATTTGTACAAGTTACAGAATTAGAGTGTATTTGCTACTCCTACACACAGATTGGCTTTGGATAGGGTCCCAGGTTTTATTGGATCAATGTGAGTTGTGTGTGTGTGTGTGTGTGTGTGTGTGTGTGTGTGTGTACGCTTGCAAACTTTAGTGAGTCAGAATTTTCTCTAGGTAAGAAATCTCCAGAGGGGAAATATCTGTTAACTTCCCTCAACTTTGGGTTGTAACACACTGGTACGGAGGCAGCTCAGCTTATGCGTCACTCTTAATTTAAACCCAATACTTGCTGTGCTGTATTATGAAACTACCAAATCATCTAATCCTTGCCTCCTAACAATGTTCCCCAAATGCACCTGCAGAGTGACAGTGACAGCTTTGAAAACCAGACTGTGCCGATGACTCTTATTCTCAACAGTATCATTTGAGTTGTGTTTGTGTCTTTTCTCCTCTGCACGGTGGAAGTACCCAGGAGATTCATGTAGAAGACAGAGAGATAGAGAGAATGGAGGCAGCATCATTTTGTAGGTGGGATATGCAAAATAGAAAAGGGACAAATGAGGTGTGTGTACATGGGTGTGAGATGGAGGATTGCTTGTGTCTTGTGTGCGCCACATGAAAGGGAAAGAAAAAGGGAGACGGTGTCCTATATTTAAAAGAAAATTGCAGCCCAAAACACTTTTCCAAACAGTTATTGGCAGTGATACTTCCATTTCTGGGTCATTTCTGTTGTTGTGTTATATATCTTTTCTCGCAGATAATTGGCCTAATATAAATCTCATGCAGCAGACAGCACAGCTACAACGGGAGGTTTAATGGGAGTAGACATTTCAAGTAGAGCAAAACATCAGTGGTAAATGTCAGGTTTTTGAAAACAGACAGAAAACGCTGCTTTCTTTACAAGTGTGTGCTGACGTTAAACAATCTTGCAGTGAGAAATGTGTCATAGGAAAGGCAGCAATACCAATTTTACACCAAGCCTCAGACAGCTTAAATACAAGCCTTCTTCCACAAGTTTGATGCCAACATCCTCTCCAATCTTCATTTATTGACTGGACACCTTCCTTTCATCCATATGTATGTAGCACACATAACAAGCTGTAGGAAAGCGGGTGCAGCACGCTCACAAAAACACCCCTGTAACACACTAAATCTCACAAACTGATATCTAAGAGTATCCGAGGGAGGGTGGGTTTTTCCTTTAAGAGGATAAAGGCATTGGGAGTTGATTATGGGAGGGGAAAATAACACTGGTAAGGGGGAGTGGAGCACTTTCTCCCAGAGGTGGCTCTGGCACTGAGTTTCCTCCTTTTCACATATTAGCTGTGAGCTGTCACTGATACTGAACACTCTTACCTGCAGCTGCTAATCTGACAGGACCACACAAACAAAGCTTATCTCTTTCATTCTCTCACGCACATGCATACACTTGCAAGAACACACAAACTAATGTCGAACCAATCCCTTCTACCTGCCTCGGCCGTCCCATGAGACGATATGGACTGAACTATTTTTGAACCAATTAAGTGCATCCTGCAGCTGCATCAATGTGCAGTCAGAGCAAGGATCCCTCTGTTTTATGGGATACTTTGGATGAGATTGGGATCAAGAATTTGGGATTTTTGTGGTGATTTTCACCAAAATGCTGCTTTGATGTGATGCTGATCTGAGTTTGTGTCTGATTCTACAATGTTCGCCAGGATCTTCATTCCCAAGAAGCACCGGGAGCGTTTTGACGAGGTCGTTTCCCAAAGCCTGATGAGCCGGCTCAAAGGGCGGAGCTTCAGTGACCCTAGCCGCAACCACCTTCGCCGCAGCCGGAGCGAGGATCACCCAGAACGCCTTCTGGTCTCCACCCGCGCCAGTTCAGTGCCACGCACCCACGCAGAGGAAGGCGTGGTCCCCCCCGCCCGCGGCATGCGCAAGACCACGTCACTCATAGCTGGGCACTCCAGTGGCACCACCACCAACTGCAGGTCTGTGTCAAGTATCATGTTGTGGATTTTTGTTCGACAGTTTTTCACACCCTGTCTTCTTTTACTTCCTGTGTGTTTTGGCCTTTTAACAGGAGTCCCATCATCATCATCCCATTTTACCATCAGCTACGCAGTGCCATGTCATTTTTAGCTTTCAAAGAAAACCCTTTTTCTTAAAATAACATCTCCTCTCTGCTTACGTCTGATCAAATTTATAACCTCTACATGAGAACAGCTGTGACAGGTCTTCCTGTGTAAGCAGGGGATTTATGTGAATTCAGAGGGGTAGGAGTTAAGTGAAAAAATAGACATTCAGTGTTTAAGCCAATGGGAACATAAACCTATTTACACAGTCATGCCTGTCCTTTTACTCTCATCTGCTGTGACGTTGTTTCCTGTCGTCTCTATGAATTGATGACAGTTTGGTCTGTGGTTAGAAACCAAAATCCTAATCTCATTTATGAGGATTTTTAAAAAACGTGTAAATAACATGTTTACAAACATCCTCTCAAAATCTCTTGAAAATGTGGGAATAAAGCACCCCAAGAAACTGCTAATCTCTTCTGTGGCTCTGGGTTGTGATGATGTTATGCAGCTCCCCTGGGATATACTGTCCATATTTAAGTGGGAGTGTTCATGCAGGATGTGAATTTAAAGTAGTCTGCTGAATATGGAAATCTGCAGGACGTCCACAGTTGGTGTCTGGATTAAATTGCATTATTTGACTCATTGCAGATAACTTTTTGAACAGATCACGGCCACAACACTGTGTGCAATGAGCTATAGTGATTAATGAATTCCGCCACCCTCACTTAAGCACAGTTCGTCTCCATTATGTCATATTTAGTCAGTCTAACCGAGTCTCTATGGTAACCCATGAAGTAGGAAAAGTATATACATTAACTTTATCATATTGAAGTCAGGGTAAAACAAAAATAGATATGTGAAGAATGAGATAGTAGTGTGAATGAACTTGAATGAATTTCAGGTACTCATGCGTGGAACAGGAACAGATGCATTTGAATTAAGTTAAAAAGCCTTTATTTCAAAACACAGCTGCTTACATTAAAACACCGTCCGGTTTCAACTCTGTGGTCTTCATCAAGGTGCAAAAGGGTGGACAGGAGTAATTCATTCATTCGTTCATTTTCTGTTCCCAAAAATGTGTTTATCACATCACAGAAAAATGTGTCACTTACCACCGAGCAAAATTCGAATGATTAAAAAATTTTTTGGCAAGTTTAGGTTTTCTCTGCAATGCTGAGGTCTCGTCCAGCTACTGTGCAGCGACAGCCTCTCGTCCAGCAGTTAACATTAGCACAACTCACACACCTACAGCATTGAGCAGCCCAAATTGGGCTAAAAGACTGAAAAGTATAAATTGACACCGGTGCTATACGCTCTAACGTTAATTTTTATGTAGTGTGGGAGGGGTCATATTAAGGGTGGCTCCAGTCCATCATTGAGCCATGATTTCAGGCCCGCCCAAAAAATCCTGGACACGAAAAGGGTGAAAAACTGTTCAGTGGTCTAACTCCACAGTTCAGTACTATACAATTTACGTTTTTTTCATGGTTTCAGCCAGTATTTGAATTTTAACAAATAAATACAAATATTTTTCTGTGTAAATATATGTTTCAAAAGCACAGCTTTCTCTTAATGAATTCTGATGTCCATTCATATCCAACAAGACAAGCAGAGGATATTTATCTTCCCCTTTTACCACCCTTTTAACACAGAGGACCATTACTCTGGAACAGCAGTCCTCACTTTATTAAAAACCTGTCCACCATTACTATCGCTTAAATCTAATATGAAAAAACACTTGTGCCATAGTTTATGTATTAGTTATGTTTATGTGTTATGTGTATGGGTGTGTCTCATTTATGATTACTATATTTTCTTGTTTTGTCTGTTATATTCTTGTGTTTAGGAGAGAAATCTTATTTGTTATAGAATAGTTTTTAAATTCTAGAGGGGAGGTTTTCATCATAAGATCTTTGGGTTTGTTACCTCTCCTGCACAATCTCTGACATGATCATTTTTATACTTGTTGTATATTTGCTAATAAAAGAGCTGAATATTTTGTAATCCCTGCTATTCTTTTAATTCATAAGGCCTTTGCTTATTTTTAAGTTCTGCCATTAATCAAAGCTCAAATTTGTCTCTTTAGGACAGTGCGAGTGTGTAAAGGTAACACAAGTTTTGGCTTCACTCTTAGAGGCCATGCTCCAGTATGGATTGACTCTGTCATCCCTGGTAAGTTAGAAATGTGTGCATGTTAAGGTCATGTTTGTGTGTGTATGCAAGTGATCAAGCTGTTGTTATGAGTATTTTTAGTTGTCACACTGTAATAACACATTTTAACATTTAACTGAGTGTAACATCTTTACAAAGCTTCTGAAATTTGTTCTTGTAATGAGGAAATTATCAAATCAGATGTCTTACTCATTTTCTGTTCTGCAGGAAGCCCAGCAGACAAGGCAGGTCTGAAACCAGGAGACCGCATCCTCTTTCTCAATGGACTGGACATGAGGTTGAGCTCTCACCCACATTCACTTTACAAATCCTTTACAAATTTGTGCCCAACTTCTAGATAAAACTATGTTTCTAAGGCTCAATCTCAATACACCCCTTGCCCCTACTACTTAGCCTCTACCCCGTTTTGCACATTCACATCGAGGGTAGGGTGTCCTGACTCTGGTTGGTATAGAAGGGTAGGTGGAAGTGTTAGAAAAAGGATGCCTATAGGTGACGTGAGAAATCACCACAGCAGAAGACAGCATATTTGCAATGTAAACACTAGTATCGTCAGCTACCAATGACATATCAGGGTCTTGGTCTGTGTTCTGAGGGGTCAGGTGGCACTTAAAAACATGGTATTGGGCCCAAATCTTACTCAAGAGAAAAGGATTATATTTAGAGGTAAACATTATTATGCTCATAGGGTTCCCTTTTAGATATTTTGTTGTTTGTTGAGCTCACACAGTTGTTGAAGTGAGTGGGAATCTCATTTCAGTTGGATGTGGTAAAAAAAACAACAACAGTTTCCTGAAACTAAAGTTAAAAGTGAAACAGTGATAAATAAGCTCCCCAGAGAACATGAGAATGTCTTTATTCTCTGGTATATGTTAAGTTCTTTGCAAAATATAGAAAGCTTTACATAAGTTGTTTATTTACACATCACATTGCTGCACAGCAGAAATTGAAATTGTTGGATTGAGCTTCTGTTTAGAATTGAGTTGGCACATGCTGTTAAAAGGCTAAAATAGTGTGTTTGTGTAAATATCTTTCCATGTGTGCCTGTAGAACGTCCTCACATGAGAAGGTGGTGTCCATGCTCCAGGGCAGTGGTGCCATGCCCACTCTGGTAGTGGAGGACGGTCCGCCGACTTTCGCACTGGCAGAGCAAGACCTTGCAGGAGGTGGCATTCCCACAGAGCGCGCCCGCTCCCCGGTGCTCAGCTCCCTTCAGTGGGTGGCAGAGATTCTTCCCCCCAGTATTCGGGTTCAGGGCCGCACCTTCGGACAGCAGCTGGAGCACCTGCTGACCATTCAGGAGAGGTACACTATCTGCAAGGCCCTGGAGAACTTCTTCCAGCACAGGTGAGCAAGGGGCTTGAAAAAAGAGTGGGAGAAGGGAAGGGGGAGTGGGGTGAGATAGATGGATGTGAGGAGATGTCCAAACAAGGAGGGAGGGAGTCCGAGATATCCGAATTATCCGAAAGTTACTAGTGTGAGTCAAGCTCTAAAACACTGGATCAGCACACTACATTTCCCATAATGCAACCAGTATCATCATTTAATCAACCCCTCCCTGCTTGGTAAATGCCTTTTAAAGTTTGTAACACTCCTCGTGATGAGGAGTCTTGCCTTAATGTGTGAAATTGGTGGGGTGCCATTTTAATTTTGTGTCTAGTCTCCCATTAGTTGTTGGTTGACATCACCCATGAGCTTAACTTTAACCTGTGATTGAACAGCCAGGCGATCTCGGTCACCTTGCCTGTGTTTCCATGGCAACAGGAATGTTGACACTCTGATCGTGGATGTGTTCCCGGTGCTGGATACTCCAGCCAAACAGGTGATCTGGCAGTTTGTTTACCAGCTGCTGACGTATGAGGAGCAGGAGCACTGCCAGAGCAAGATCTCACGCTTCCTTGGATACAAAGCGCCAGGTGTGTGCACACAATAATTTTTGGTGTGTATGTGCATTTTTTAAGGTCAATATGTGTGTGAATGAAAAGGTGTCGTGTGTACAAGACGCTGTCTATGGGATCTGTGCCTCTTCCTCTACACTGCCATTATGTGTGTGTGTTCCAGTTCCACCACCGCCACCGCCTCCGCCTCCTCCTCCTGAGCCTGAGGTTGTCCCTGAGCCCCACCGGCGTAGCAGCTCCATGAGGGTGACAGGGACCACGTACAGGAGCAGTGTGAGGGGACGTAGCTCTGATGACCTGGTCATCGGCACACACTTGGGCATGGGTACAGAACTGTCTTCATTATCATTCAAAGCAACAGCTGTGATCATAAACGAAGTCTTATTAAAGCAGAAGTTTGGTATTTTTCAACGTGGACCCCATTTTCCTGTGTTTTGGGGTCTAAGTGACAAATGGGAACAAACATTTTTGAAATTTGTCCAGTATTGAGCGAAACAGCAATGTAACCAGCAACCACCCTACAGAGACAAACCTTTCTGTTGTATAGTTAGAGAGCTCAGAGCTAACTCGTCTACTTGAGTTGTATTTCAGTCATACTAATGAATGTATTGTCATAGGCCTTCGTGCAGACACAGTGCTGGAGGCAGGGATGAGGCTGGCTCCAGGAGAGAGGCAGTCAGGAGACGGTACTTCCCTTCCAGAGACTCCCAACAACCTCACCAATGTACGTACCAAAGCCCTCATGGGAAAATATACATTATATCAATGTAGGACTCATCATCATTGAAACAACTCTTTCTCGGGTTTTTTTTGTTTGTTTGTTTGTTTGTTTTCATTTTCACCATACAAGCTTTCAGCAGTGTACGCTGAACTGGAGAACATGTATTCATCCAAGAGGTCCAAGTCTCTGAAGAGTCGTCCTCCTCCCGCCCCCGAGAGTTTGCTAGATCTGGATCCTCCTTCGCGCACGGCCTCTCCAACAATACATGCTAACACAGGTAGCTGAAAGCATGAGCTTACACTAAACTTACAACACCTGGATTTATATTTAACAAATATACTGTGTAAAATAACTACCTTACAGATCTGTTGTGTGCATGAATGAGAGTGTGAGGTTTTAGTGTAAGAGAAGGAGGATAATGAAATGTTAAAAAAGTACTGCAGTGCAAGAATGAGAAATCCCAAGGTAGCCAACCCATTTCTTTGAATATACTTGAATTCTACATTAACAGGATTTTTGTGATCTTATGTACATAAATATACGGCACAGAGGAGTCTCAAAAACACCCCACTGCTTTCAATTTTGTCTCAGCATGGCTGTAATGATTACTTTAAGTCAGTTTAGGACCTGCTGTGTAGAAAATGTCAGAGCTGGTATCACAGAATTTAATATGGAGCATTATTTTGCAGGTATACTAGGTAGAGGAAAGGCATTTTGTGTCGTTATACAATAGTCTAATATTGTCCAAAAACACTGAACCTTTGTTCACCGGAGGCATGCGAGAAGTTTTCTTCATTCACCGTAACGCAGGGTAATTGATGTACAGATGGTCCTTTGGGGGATGAAGTATTCAGTTATACATCTGAATTTCAGTAGACTCACAAGTCAGTCTTTAGACGCTTTGCTTAACTAAAGACTGATGACTTTCTCCCTGATTTTGTGTTTAGATGGGCGGATACAATTTCAGAGTTTAAAAAAAATCCCTAAGTAGCAGAACCAATAGTAAATCTGCAGGGCGGTCCTTCGGTGGCTCGCTGAACTCTTGTGCTTGTAAACATAGTCCGACTAGAAACATGTGTAGCGGTACAAAATGGCTCAGCCGTGCTCACAGAAAACGCCATCAAAGTTCAGTGGATGTTTGTCGCGTTTGCGGCGACACATTCTCACCAACTAAAAGAAACAAACATAATCTTTTACAAGGCCATGACTCATCTGTCCGGCTATAGACTATAGAGGGAATCGCCTTGTTGTTTACAAATACTTCCGGGTAGAAAACCAGCAGAGCTTTTAGCTATATATATATAGCCTATATATTTTCACATCACTGTATCACCGTTTGGACTAATCTGATGTTTGTAAAGTCTATAAACACAATGATTGAACAAACATTACTATTTCTGTGTGCACGTTTAGCTGGGCTAACCGTTAGCTGTTAGCCCTGTTAGCCGTTAGCGGTGTCTGTAATAGGTAATAACTCATTAAACGGTCCGTGAAAAAAAAAAACTTTTCCAGCGGATATCTTCGTTACAACATGATTGAGCTAGCAAAGCAGTTTTGTGTTGCTATGTGTGGTATTTATTCAGTTTTGGGAAATCGCGATGTCTAGAAAGCATCAGTGGCTGCAGCTGACAGGGACAGCTAACAGCAGCACTAGCAGCAAAGCTAACAGGATGTCATCTGTTAAAAGTCTCCCGTTGTTGGATACGACATGAAACTACTCCAGTTAGCTCAATAATGTTGTAACTAAGACATCTGCTGGAAAAAATATTTTCTTCATGGATGAGCACACGTTTGATTAAACAGAGTTAAATCTCTCGGCATCCATTTTCAAGCTCTCTGTGTGTTTGTTTCCTTGCGGACGAGAAAAGGATGAGCGCACATTTCCGAGAAGGCGTGTCCTTTTCAAAAATGCAAGAGGCGTTGCTTTGTTGCTGGCCGTATTCGCCGGTGTGTTAAACACACTTTAGAAAGGAGTATCCCCAGACTATCAGAAGGCGGAGATCTCTGATTGTCTGGTGGCGAGACTAGAATTTCAGTAGAGAGACTGCACCTAACGTGATGCTTCAGAGATTTAGCCGTCATCATATAACTGTAGACTGTATATCTCTTCCTTATCCCAGGTAGCCGTAAAGGCCCGCCACCCCCTACATCCTGGCCTGAGCCTCTCCCCAGCCCCCCTACACCCCAGTTCTATCAGTCAGGGCTGACGAGCCAGACCAGTGCAGAGTCCAACCCCTACATCAGCCTGGACAGTCCCCCTCCATCACCTCCAGAGCCCCCGGACTACCCATCTAGCCCCCCTCCTCTCCGCAGCAACAAGCGGCGTTACACCTTCTCCAAACCACCACGCTCAGAAGACACAGATCGCTTTCTGGATGCGCTGAGCGAGCAGCTGGGACAGAGGGTGGCTATCATTGATGACTTCCTGACTCCGGAGAACGACTATGAGGAGGTAGAGTCGCAGTTACTTAAAATCTAAAGCCTCATTATGAAGTAAATATTAAAAGAATTAGCTTGGCTTCTGTTGATGTGTATTCAGTAACCATGTGCACATAGTCAGGCGTTATCAGCGATCACATGTCTAAATCATCAACTTTGTGTGTGTGCATGCTGCCCTTCTCTTATTATTTTACTGCTGCTCTACATAAGGAAACTTAAGACAGTAGAGAAGCTTCAGAGAGTCATTTTGTTTGGTGTAGAAAGAAAAAATATTCTAGGGCCACATATCAGCTGAAATAGTCTTGTGAAAATACGCTTCTTTCATCATAGTTTCTGGTGAGAAAGGGTTAATTCTGCATGGTACACTAATTCCCTACGGTATGTAAGCCTTGCATCCAAATGTGAAATAGGACAGACCCCTTGACACATATACACATACAGAACGAGTACAGAACATACTGTCCTTTTAAAAGATGACAAAGTGAATCTTAAGATTGGCCTCACACAACAGTGTTGTCTCCCTGTGTGTTGTCCTGTATAGTGTGTTGCAGTTAAGTTTTGTCGATTATCACTTTGACCTCAGAGAATCATTAAAAACACATTATGTGACCCAAATATAAACAAAAGAGCAGCCTCACCATCAACATGTAAAACACACCATTAAAACCTGGGTTGATGCTAGAACTGATGGTATGGAGGGATATCATGGACCCCACTATAATTGGCAAGAGTGCGAATTGTTTGTCCAATCAAATGTTAGTGAACAAATATTGGGAGGGCAGGGGCACGAAATCCCTGGGATAAAAAAGAGCTTAACATCCAGGGGTATGTGGACAGGGGAGGAAAGCCGACAGAGGACCCTCGCCTCTGCCACCCTCCCACCCTCCCTCTGGTTCTCTGATGGAGGATCAGAGCAAAGCACGGGTCAGTGCTAGAGGCTGATTAGGGGCTGTAGGATAGAGGCAGGCGGCTGAGAGTCAAGCTAGACCCTGTGGAGCATACTGGAGGCTTTATCAGGTCGCAAGAGCATTGACAACTGATGACGTGACAAACAAGCACACAAGAGAGTGCAGCAGTGTCCCTCCTCCGCACCTCCAGCCCATCAATTCTAGCACCAACCTAAATCCTGCCGTCAGTCCTGAATTCATTGTCAGGTCAAAAGCACAACAACTAAATGAAAATTAGTTTTATACATGATTTGCCTCAAGACATGTTGCTTACTTCATTTGATGAGGGGAGCAGTAGAGTAAACTCTGGGTTGTTGATAGACATACACAAGCTGTCATTAAAGCTGTCACCAAACCTACACATTGAATGTATGTCAAAAGTTTCCTTTGATAATCGTGTTTAAACAGCTCTAGCAAAGAAACATATCAAGGAGATCCTGTAGAATCTCCCCACTATGTATTTTATTGGTTAACGTTTGGGATGTTGTAGCCAATGAACTCATCTATTTTTCAAAGTGTACCATTTTAACAAGTTCCACTTTGACATTAAAGGCCTAATGAAGTGTAATTGGTGTTAATGCCAGGATGTTGTGCAGATGGGCTTCCCAGATGAGGAGGATGACGATAACGAAGAGGAGTTGGGTGTGGACGAAGATGAAAATGGAGGATTTGTGGGCCCAGAGCTCAGCAGCCCGAGTGATGTTCAGAGCAGCAGTGGAGAAGAGAACGCCTCCTCCCTTACCTACTCTTCCTCTTCCGACCACATCCCTCCACCACCGATGACCCCTCCACCGCCCCCGCCTGTTCAGTTCAACGACCCGCCTCCTCCTCCACCTCCTCCTCCAGCACCTGCACAGACTCAGTCTCAGCACCAACAACAGCAGCAACAGCTCAACTACACCCCTGAACACTCTCCGAGAGCATATGTGCCCATTCGCCGAAAATCTGGCCCCCCTCCTCCACCTCCACCGCGCAGTAACCCACCACCTAAACGGCACTCCTTACATAAAGTGCTGCCCACAAGAGAGGACATTCAGGTCCGTGCTACCATACAAGAGCTAAAAGCCTACCAAGAGCAACAAGCTTACCAGGAGAGACAAGCCTATGAGGAGCAACAGGCATATAAGGAGAGGCAGGCGTATGAGGAGCAGAAAGCCTATGAAGAACAACTGATCCAAGAGCAGCAGGCTTACCAGGAGCAACAGGCCTATCAGGAGAAAATGTTCAAGGAGAGACAGGCTTATGAAGAGCAGAAGGCGTATGAGGAGCAAAAAGCTTTTGAAGAACAACAATTGTACCAGGAGCAACAAGCCTACCAAGAGAGACAGGCATATGAGCAGCGCCAAGCCTACCAAGAACAAAAAGCATACGAACAGCGCCAAGCCTACAAGGAGCAAAAAGCTTTTGAGGAGCTTCAAGCCTACCAGGAGCAAAAAGCTTATGAAGAGCGTAAAGCTTATGAAGAGCAAAAAGCTTACGAAGAGCGGCAGGCCTACGAGGAGCAACAAGCATATCAGGAGCAACAGATCTACCAGAGCCACCACTCAATGCCTAACCAGCCAACGCAGCAGAAAGCTCACTCGCCACTGCCTCTTCAACAGCTCCACCAGTCCTTACCCCCACTCCCTTCTCCAGACTCCGCCCATCACCATGCTAACCATCCTCTTTATATGATGCGCCAAGCACAGCAGCAGCAGGCCCACCAGAGTCATCACCACCGCCGTCAGTCCCGTTCGGCCCCGCCTCCACACCAGCCGTCGCCCCAACCAACAGCCCACCCGAGCCAACAAGGTCAATATGCTGAGGGCATCTACCAAAGCCATCAAGGCCTGAGGACGCAGGCCCACCACTCCTCTGCTGAGATGCTCCACCAGGTGCACCAAGCCCCACCCCATCATTCCTCTGCTGAGATGCTCCATCAGCTGCAACAATCCCAGGCCCACCACTCGTCTGCTGAGATGCTCCAGCAGATGCAACAAGCCCATGCCCACTACTCATCATCAGAGATGCTCCACCAAATCCACAAACCCAAGGCCCACCATTCCTCAACAGAGGTTCTGCACCAAGGTCACCAGATGCAGCAAATGCAGCCTCACCACTCCTCGACCGAACTTCTCCATCAAGTGCACCAGCTGCATCGGGGACAACCACACCATTCATCCACTGAGCTGCTCCATCAGATGCACAAAGCCCAGGCCCACCACTCCTCGACGGAGCTACTCCATCAAGCCCACCAGGTGCACCAAACTAAGCCCCATCACTCCTCCACTGAGCTGCTCCATCAAGCCCAGCAAGACCCACCATCCCTCCCAGTTCAGCTAACCCGGGACAGCCACTCCCATCAGAGTCGGAGAAGTCTTAAAAGTCATCATCAGACCCAAGTTTCACCGCAAGGGAGACACCAGGAACAGCAGATCCACCAAACTCATCACCCCCAGCCCACCAAACCCTCTCCCCAAAGACCCCACTCTATCCAGCAGACCCACCACCACTCCAGCACACCTCAGATCCACCACATCCACCATATGACCCCACAACCCCCTCCGCAGGACTACCAACACCAGATTCATGTCATCCACCCTCCCCAGCAACCCCACAGGCCTCAGCCCCTTCTCTCCACCTTTCAGCCCCTTCAGCCGCACCAGCCCACCCTCTCCACTTTCCAGCCTCTGCCTCAACACCACCAATCCCAGCACCAAGTCCAGCCTCCACCCTCCACCCAAGCCACGCGCCCACAGTCCCAGCCCTCACATCACCTGCTGCAGACGCAACACCAGCCCCAAACCCAGTCCCACCATAAGCAGCCTCATGGTCAGAGCCAGCCCCAGTCCCTCCCCCACTCACTATCAGACCCTTCAGAGCACCTAGAGCCCCCTCCGCCTCCACCGCTGCCTCCACCCTGCTCCCCTCCACCCTTGCCCAGGCCTTCGCTCTCCAGGATGGACTCCAACCACATGAGTGTGAAGAGGTTGCGCTGGGAGCAGGTGGAAAACTCAGAGGGGACTATCTGGGGACAGGTTAGCTTTATGGGGTTTGAACATAGGGAGCTAAGGCCTCTTTAAAGGGACAGTTCACCCCAAAATCAAAAAAACATATTTTTCCCCCTACTTGTAGTGCTATTTATAAATCTAGATTGTTTTGGTGTGAGTTGCAGAGCGTTGGAGATATCGGCCGTAGAGATGTCTGCCCTCTCTCGAATATAATGGAACGAGATGGCAATCAGCTTGTGGTGCTCAAACGCCAAAAAATACATTTGAAAAACTCGACAGCAATATCTCTTTCCAGAAATCATGACCTGGTTACTCAAAATCAGTTTCATTTAGGAACCATTTTCTTTCTACTGAACTACACCTGCCAAGTGTATCACCGCACAGAGGGAAGCAGACATCTACTGCTAGCTCACCTAGCACAACTGAGCTAGCTAACTTCCTTCTGCACGGTTATACAGTTGGTAGGTGTAGTTTGGAACAAGGAAAATAGTTCCTATAGTTGACTGTTCACCAAAAGGTCTCTAGTATATCTTAAGTAATGTTTGTTATAATTTTTTTTTTTTGGCGCTTTGAGCACCACCATTTAATTGCTTTATACTTGAGAGAAGGCAGACAACTTTACGGCCAATATCTCCACTCCAACAACTCACACTAAAACAATGTAGATTGATTTGGAGATGAAATGTCCTTTTAATGTTATACCAATTAGCATATGTTTTTATATTTAATGATAACAGAAAGAGTCATGAATTTGTAATAAACATAGCAACATTTTTGCATGTCTTTGGTAGTTGGGAGCAAATTCTGACTATGAAAAACTGCATGACATGGTGAAGTATCTGGATCTGGAGCTGCACTTTGGGACACAGAAGCCCTCCAGTGAGTACAAGTGGCTGTATGCATATCTGCAGTGCTTTAAATGGAAGCACAGCTGAAGATCATAAGATGATATGTAAAGAATTCTGGAGTAATCAGTAAGCCCCACTCGTGTACACAGTATGTTAAAACTTTTTTAACCAGAATGGAGTATGCATCGTTATTTCCTAGCACATCATTATCCAGGCTCTTGGATCTCTGCCTTCTTGGAGTGTTATTACTTAGTCATTAAGTCGACAGTATTTCACCCCTGAATTTTGTCCGTCAGATCTGAAACAACACATCTTTTTAAAATTACTTCCCTTAGGGCTTCTCTCATTTTTTCACCATATTTAAACGGGATCTAAGTCTATTCTGCACTTGTGCTTCTTGCATTTGCTCTTAACCTGCTGCAAAAAATGTAAAATATACACAAAATCTTCATCCCCATTCATCTCTCTACTGTCTATTTTGACCTCCATTTTTCTAACACTAATCAAATTTTTAGTGCCTGCTCCAGAGCCATCTCTCCTGCCAGAAACCTTCAAGAAGAAAGATGTGATTGAAATTCTGTCCCATAAGAAGGCTTACAATGCCTGTAAGTAAAAAATTGTCAAGTATTTCCATTTGTCCAGATTTATGGGCTCATATATGGATCAGCATTAGGAAGCTGTAATTCCTGTCTATGTTCTTTTTAACCTTCAGCCATCCTGATAGCTCACCTGAAGCTGTCTCCTGGCGAGCTGCGTCAGGTGCTGATGAACATGGTCAGTGATAGGCTGGAGCCATCCCACATCAAACAGCTGCTGCTGTATGCCCCCGATGCAGAGGAGGTCAAACAGTATGAAGCGTACAGACAGGACCCCAGCAAACTCAGCGAGCCAGACCAGTTTGTGTTGCAGGTACAGACCTGGCAGGGTGTGAATGTCTGGGTTGGTGGTGTGGATTACCTGCGCCTGTGTGTGCTGTATTTTTGTTCATCATCTCTTACTTCTTTGCTTGTTGTGTGTGTTCTCCATCAGATGTTATCAGTACCAGAGTACAAGACCCGCCTGCAGAGCCTCCTCTTTAAGTGTTCCCTGCAGGAGAAGACGGAGGAGCTGAGGGGAGCATATGACTGTCTTTACAAGGCTTCGCTGGAGCTGAAGACAAGCAAGAAACTGGCTAAGATACTGGAGGTAGCCTACTGTTCAGCAAAGTACATAAAAATGAGAAAAAAGATGTTTATGGTTATTAAAGTGCTCCTTTGCAACTTTATGTGATTCTAATAACACATGGCAAAAAGCAGCCTTCCACTTGCACTGTGGGAGAGGATGTTTGTTTTCAGATTAACAGGGAAGTGTGTTCACAAAATTATGTTCAGTTTTTTCCTGAAACTTAATTTAGCCTTACCTTCATTGTTCGTAAGTGCACATGAGATATCAAACAAGCTGTTTCATTTATTTATGAATTAGTTGTTTGACTAGGTGTCTACTTGCTGCATTCTGTCTTCAGTTTGTGTTGGCGATGGGGAACTACTTGAATAACAGCCAGCCTAAAACCAGCAAGACAACAGGCTTCAAGATCAACTTTCTCACAGAGGTACATCACACATTAATGCATATTTAAAGAGAAACTATGCAGGGTTTTCCTAAAAAACAATCTATAGACAACAACATACAAAAGTAATCCCTCTCAATCATCACTTACGACCCAGTAGAAGTGTGTAGCAGTGTATTTTTCTGCAGAGACTCTGCCCTCTGCCTGTATTTTCTTATTCCTTCGTATTTTCTGTGTATGGGCGTGTACCCCCACAGCACTCACGTGAGCTCTGGGCTTTAAAAAATGATAGCAGCCAGGTGCCAGACAGTAAGTAGCACACATCCAAGAGACACCGCTGAAAAAATGCAAAAATAGAGTGAGGCAAAACGCCAAACGAGAGTGAATGTGGGGTTGGCTTTTATTTTCACTTCTGCTGGCAAACGTGTTTAGGAGAAGAAGAAGATATACTTTATTAATCTCCGAGGGGAACTTCAATATTTTTTAAATTTTGTTGTCATGTACACACAGGCCCGAAATACACACACACATGCGCAAACAGGACCTATACATGCAATAAATGGAGAGATGTCAGAGCAAGGGGGCTGCCTTAGACAGCGCCCCAAGCAGTTCGGGGTTAAGTGACTTGCTCAAAGGGGGAACTGTCTCCTCTCCAGCTACCAGTACATGCTCCATATTTTGTCCATACAGGGACATGAGCCCACGACCCTTTGGTTCCCAAGCCAAATCCCAATGATCTGAGCTACTGCCGTCCCAAATACAAATTTACAAATAGTAGCTGATATTTCTGTAATATGTCAGGGTGAATATTAGCCAGCATGTGCCAGCTTTTAGCTTGTATCACATGTAGTTGTCTGGCAGATGAAAATATAAGCAGCCAAAATGTCCCGTAGGAAAGATGCCAAATAGATAAATAAATTCATGAATACCATGTGAAATAGCCCAATATTATGTTACCTATAATATCAGTTGCCAAGACAACCTAAATATAAACTTATTTTAAGACCAGATTTTTATTATGGACAGATCTATTTATCCACAGAAGCAGTACAGAGCGTCTTACTGCCTCTTCAGACCACATACCACGTCCACACCGGTCATGTTGGCTTTAAGACATATGTATATAATTGTTCTTCTTCTTGAACATTAATGGCCATATTGACCGTCGGAAAAAAAAAAGTCTAGCTCTAACTCTGCAGAGTATACCTTTAAAACATGTGACCAGGTGTTTGTTTGTCCTTGTTTTCTTTCTAGTTGCATTATGCTTGTACAATTAAATTGACAGTTGACCCCAATTTCAAAACAACGTTTTTCCTCTTACCTTTGGTGCTATTTATCAGTCTAGATTGTTTTGGTGTGAGTTGCCGAGTGCAGAAGGAAGTGTGCATCTAGTCATGGCTGTGAGGCTTGTGCTCGTGACAGCGTGAGATAGACTTAGACTCAGACTTGCTTTATTGTCATTCAACAAATACACCATCGGTGGTATGGTATGACTTAAAAAAAAGTTAAAATTTCAAATAGTTAAAATTAAATTTACAGTGCATCACAACAGATGTAAACATTAATGGCTTCCTCTTTGGCTGAGATGTAACATTAGCTAGCTCAGTGGTGCTAGGTGAGCTAGCAGTAGATGCACACTTCCTTCTGCACAGTGATACAATTGGCGGATGTAGTTTGGTAGAAAGAAGATATTTCCAACAGGGAACTGCTCACAACAAGGTCTGTGGATTATCTTGAGTAACTGGGTCATGATTTCTGCAAAGAGACATTGCTGGGTTAAAAAAAAAAAAAAAAAATTGCTTTTAGCACCACTAGCCAAGTGTCATCTAGTTCAGTGGTTCCCAACTGGTCGGTCGTGGTCCAGAAGTGGGTCGTGGGTCCACTCTGAATGGATCGCAAGTGACTTGGGAATGTGTCAACTTATAAAAAATACACTTTATTTTGAAGTCCAGTGAATATCTAGCACAGAGCTTTTATTTTGAAGTACCATTTCCTGCTGTAGAGTGAGTGACTAACAGACAGCTGCTTGACAGAGACAACAAACTAGCTTGACGACATGGTCAAACACAAGTATGACACTGAATGTATTGAACCGTGTGGACCTTGAACAAATGGCTAAGGAGAAATCTGTCTCCTGCATTTGGGTCCATCTGCTCCACACCACTAAACACACTGATCTAGTTCCATTATCATCAAGAGAAGGCAGACATCTCTATGGCTGATATTTCCCAACACCTGGCAACTCACCTAAACAATCTAGAGTGCTAAATAGCACCACAAGTAAAAGGAAAAATATGTTTTTGATTTTTGGGTGAACTGTCCCTTTAATAACTTCACTGTGTCCTCTGCAGTTGAGCACAACTAAAACAGTGGATGGGAAGTCGACGTTTCTACATATTCTGGTCAAGTCGTTATGTCACCACTTCCCTGATGTGTTGGATTTTTCCAAAGACTTAACAATGGTTCCTCTTGCAGCCAAAGGTAGATACATGTTTATCTGACCTCTGCGCCACAGCTGTAGAACATTTTTCAATTTACTGAGCTCTTGTTCAAGAAAGTTTTTCAATGGTTATAAGCATTCTTTCCTCCTCATTTCTTTCTACAGTAAATCAGAGGACTATTACATCGGATATGAACGACCTACTTACGACCATCCAGGACATTCGCTCAGCTTGTCAGAAGATGCCTGCGACTGCTGAGGATCGCTTTGCTGTTGTCATGAGTGTATCCTTTACAAAGCTGCAAAGACAGCGCTGGGTTACATAGGCTGATGAAAAGAAAACAAGTGTAGTAGAAGAGATGAAACTTTTATGCCCCTTGACTCCAGTATGTGTAGAACTTCCTGGAAAACAGTCACCCCGCAGTCCAGTCTCTGGAGTCCCTGCAGCAGAGAGCTATGGAGGAGTTCGGCAAAACTGCCTCTTACTTTGGAGAAGACAGCAAATCCACCAACACTGAGGCCTTCTTTGGTATCTTTGCTGAGTTCATTGGCAAATTTGAGGTGAGCAAAAACGATTTAAGCATGAATTTAGTCTAGCAATCCCTCTAGTCCTGCCTCTACAGTGTTACTGTCAAAACTAGTGTGTATGCATGTTTCCCTCTGTAGTTATTCATCATAATGCTTTAAAAGAAACGTCATCGTTCCTCAAAAAGCTTCTGATGCAGAGTATAAATGGCTGCAGATAAACACCTCTTTTGATTACCTCATTATGTCCTAGATTTTCTACTCTGCCACTGTTTTGTTGTTAGAAAGGCTCATGCAGTGTTTTAAGTAATGAGCACAGCCTGCATTTCATCAGAGATGTAGAGAGAGTCTGCCAGGCTACGACCGTACTAATAATGAGCTACATACAGTAAATGGATCGGTGTGTTCACACTGAGCGTGGCAGGCCCCTCAGGAAGCCAGAGCTGAATACAGCATTTTCAAAGACAAATTTAGAACAAAGCACAACATTCAGATTTATGCAGTTCACATTCAGATTTCACAATCATTCAGCCTCGATGGACAAATTCAAAGGGCTTCTTGAAATCTGTTGTAATTGTTTTACATTTCTATAAGGTTGTGTGTCCACGTGTCCATGCACATATTTGCAACTGGAGGCGCCCCCTAATGAGCAATTTATGAAATATATCCTGCAAGTTTTGTTGTGATTGCACAAATAATTTCTAAATTATAGTCTAATTTGTGTCATGCCACACCGATTTTTGGGGGGATTTGTGGCGCCCACGAGTGGTTAATTTAAGTGAAACTCTCAGGGTATGTTTCAGGTTCTTGCGTGGACGTATCCTACAAGTTTTGTGATGATTGGCCAAATGATTATGGAGTTAGGTCTGGTTATGTGCTGAGTCATACCCCTTTTGAAGTTAATTCGTCAATATCTTTTAAAGGTGTTGAGATATCAGCAAGCTTTGTGCAGCTTTTGATAAGCTTGTTCCAATAATGATACACAGAAAATTTGGTTGTAAGCAGACCCACTGTTTAGGAGGAGAGGTTTAAAAAAAATTTAAATTCAAAATGGCGGAAAATCTACTTAAATTGTTCTTCAGGCTTTTTTTGGTAAGACACACTGAGCTAGACTTGTGCGTCAAATTCCAAGTTAATCAGACTGACAGTGGGAGGGGAGTAGCCTTTCCAAAATGGCATTTTTGGGCCTTAATTACAGTGCCCTCATCAGGCTGATTGGGGTCATATTTCTTGGACATTATTATCACGGAACTTCCAGTCATTTGTAAGACATTTTCAGTGTCTAGGATGTACCATGTTACGGTATGTTGTGTTTCTTAGGAAAAATAATGATCAGTTCAAACAAACCCTTCAGGCTTGAGCCTTTTAAAATAAAAATAAATAATGACACATGCAAAACATAACAGCATATTCCACAAAACTGCTAATAGACCCTGTTGTTTCTCTACCACAGAGAGCTCTCAGTGATCAGCAAGCTGCAGAAAACCAGAAGAGCCCAAGAAGTCCACGATTGGCTTCACCACTGGCCTGGTAACACACACACACACACACACTCACACACACACACACACACACACACACACGGAGATGACTACATACTTCATACAGTACATACACATGTTCACATATACTGTATACCACGTGCATAAACACATACACGCGCACAATTTTGAGCAAAAAAACAAGGTTTTATGTACTTGTGTGTTTTTGGTAAATCAATGGAGGGAGAAGCTTTGAAATGAGGCAAAAGTGTCTTTTACATCAAAGATGGACAATTTAGCTTTATACCAGTGGTATAGTATATACTGTATATGCTAACAGAGATTTGTCAAAGTCTAAAAGTGAAATGGTCTAGGCTGCTATATAGAAAACAACCTTGTTTGACAGTCAAGGTATGTGTACTATTTGACAGACAGTTACTCAGTAACATCCTGTAGGTGAAGCTTTTTTTTCTCTAAGCCTGAGTGTAAGTGTGCTATTACAGTTCTGCAGTAAAATCTTTGTTATATATCCACAAATAAGACATAGATTTACTAAAATGAATTTTAACCCAACATAGATATTTAATGAAAATACATTCAACTACTCATGGTGGTTTGGAAGAAACCACCAAAGCAGTTTCCTGTTAGTTTATATGTTGTGTATTTTTGTAAGCTGCCCACCACACTGAATGTAACATAAGTTCTTTACTAAGTGTAGCTTATTTTCTCAAGTAAATATTCATCAGTCCTGATGACAGATTGTTTCATGTACTGCTTTGTATCTGTGCCTCACTGTCAGCAGATTTTCCAAATTCCTACCATGTCAGTTATAGTTTGTTTTTTTCTAAATGGTGTTGTTCTGACCTCTGATGTTATTAACATGTATATATATGAGACGTCAGTGAGAAGTTGGCACTTAGTACTTGTTTTTATAAAAGACACTTTTAACTGTTCCAAGGATCATTTTTAAGCAGTCTGCGGTCAGAAACAATAGGGATGCACTGAAACTGTGAAATCCTGCGCCAATACCGATGTTTGAAATAACAACTTGGCCGATAATCGATAGCATTTTTTGTTGTTGTTCATTTTGTTTTTGAAAAAAAAAGGAATATTTTGAAATCATTCAGCCCTTCATTACAGTATCTTTGAATGAGCACAAATTCAACCATTCAAATTTACGAAGTGACTTATAAAACCTTCTTTCACATAAACAAAACAACCTCTTTTTTATAACTGCTTCAAAAGCCTTTTTACAACATATGATATATCATAACCCCTCCCTAATATCTATTTTATTTTTCTGTGGAAACATCAACAAATTTCTCCTTCAGACAACTGTATTTATTGAAGTTTCTCCCAAAAACTGAATGTTACAAGATTAAATATGAACACATCACTAGACTGTTATAATTTAATAATAATAATAATAATAATAATAATAATAATAATAATGACTTTATTAAGGACACAGAGAAAGGTCCATAATATGAAAGCAGACAGTCATCTATGTACAAAAGTAAGCTATAAAAAAATACAATGTATATTTAAAAAAAGACAAGAAATAGAACACTACATGATGCAAGTTCATATAATAAAGGCATAATTCAATAATTTACCTTTGCCAATAGTCATTTTTACCGAATAGAGGCTGAATGCATCATAATGTAACTTATGCTGCCTTTAAATGGAACTCATGAGCTCATGGTTACGACATGGGAAGTCATGCACACAATATGTTTGGTGTTCAAGTCGCGAGGATGATGCTGCCAGGCAGCAGCAACATGGACACTACTGTCTGCGTCTAGACGCCACTGAGGCGAACAGTTTAGTGAGCTAGTAAGCAGGGAATGCAGCCTAGAAGATGCAAAGGCGTAATTATAAAGGGGAAAAGACAAGGCTGTTGGGAATATCAGACAGTATAAAAATATGAACAATACCTCTATACAACTAACATTACAATTTATTAAGTTACCATCCACAGAAATAAACTTCCATGGTCTCTGTCATTTCTGAAACATCAGCAAATACGTCACAACTCATGAACTCAGTTCTCTGAAAATGTCTACTTATGAGGTTGTGTATACCACAACAGGGAGGCAGTCACATGGACTCACAACCCCATTTGAAGGCAGCATCAATGCAAAATCCCTTAGCTGTTGGTTTAGCCTCCAGCTGCTAACAGCTAACATTCACTAGCTCTCCTCCCGCCAATTTTAACACTGATCCTTTGTTCACTTTGTAGAAAAAATAGGCTGCGTCCCCGATGCGTCTTTAGTGAGTTCACTGTCCTTCTGTTCCGAAGGCATCCTGGAGAAGATCTCTATTTGTCCCATATACCTTTTCTATTGTCCCTGGGATGATGGGATGCTGTTAATAATCAAGCTCTGCTTTTTAGCCTGTGCCAAATGAATGTGACACAACAGAAAAACATCATCCACTGCCTTTGGTGAATGTCATCATATTTGCTAGCCAACGGCAGTCGAGAAGAATATCATCTGATACGATGTTCAGCTATAAATCGGTGCATCCCTAACACACACTGATCGCAGGCTGCAGAAGGTGGATAATGTGGAGCTAACAGCGGGTAGTGTGCAATATGTGAATGTTTAGCTGTGTTCCACTGTTGGATATCATACTAAATATTATTATACTATATGGAACTATAACAGAGACGTATTGTGTTTGTACTGTACAGAATGAGAGTGGATGTAAAGAAAACCGATACAGATGCCACATATGAAGCACTTTGTTACGTTCATGTATTATTTCTTTTATTGACTGTGTCAGTTATACGACTGAGAGGACAGCAGTGTCATTAAGTTTAGTGTAGCAGATGCAGCGTTTTATATACTAATAATGCAGCTTCTTCTGAGATGTGCCAGTGCTCTGTAAAACATAAAGCTTAGTCCTCAAGTGATATTTTTAAACAGTAAGGCAAATTATTACAATAAGAATAACATGCGCAGCTAGTAAAAACTTTGTTTTCTAATGGTATCAGTTGTTTTATTTCCTGCTTAAATTACAGAATGTAAACCTCTAAAGCATCGCTGTCCATTTAAGGTCTATAAAGTGTTAAGTCTGTATTTTGTATTGTATCCTAACAATGCTGACAACTATAAAGAGTGGGATGAAATCTGCTTTCGCCTGGATGTCTTGAGTTTTTAAGATTTTTGATGTGCCAACGATGGAAATTCGTTTGTCTTACAGAGAAATAATACTGCGTCCATTCGTGTATTATTGACAGGATGAGGGGGATCAAGTACACTTGTTTGTACATTTCCGTCAGCTCTTGTGATGCAGATTGTTATGTCCTTACAGCTGCTGCTGCTGACACACCTGCTATTGCTACATCCATTTTACCTGTCCTGCTGCAGCAACATCTCACATTAACATCTGTTTTTGTGAGATACACCCGTAAACAAACACAGATACAGATATTGCCCTTACCTTGTTTTAATACATCACTGCCCACATCTTGCGTGTGATTGGCACGAATTTAGATTAATTTTCGGCAATTACTTAGCTCTCCCCTTATCAGCTGCAGCCTTTATTACTCTGTAAAGAGCAATAACTCGTTTACATTTTAACTAAATGTAGTGCATGAGTCAAAGTGGAGTTTGGTCTTTTGGCGTGTGGCGGAAACTCTCAAGCCAAGCCTGAGATTCCTGGGATCGCTCTCCTGTCATTTGTGACACGCTGTGTTGTTTGGACAACTAAGCTCAAGGAATGATACACACTACTTACTGAAAGGTGAGTGGATTTACCAGACAGCATGAAGATAAGGTAAGAGGCTGAGCTGTAGCACATACTGATATCTTAACTGCTGTAAAATTTGAATAGATTTATAATTAACGATGTAAGTAATCAGATAATGTTTATGTGCCATGACGTGTGACACTGATATCTTCACATGCTGATAGAAGTGCAATTTACAGTATATGTCTAGAATTAAATATTAACCTGCTTCATCTTGTCAACAATTAACTGTCTATAGTAGCACAGCAGGTTTAAAGGGACGGTTCAGCCGCAAAATAGAAAACACACATTTTTCCTCTTTCCTGTAATGCTATTTATCAGTCTAGACTGTTTTGGTGTGAGTTGCCAAGTGTTGGAAATATCGGTCATAGAGATATCGGCCTTCTCTCAAATATAATGGAACTAAATGGGACTTGGCTTGTGGTGCTCGAAGTGCCAAAAAAATACATTTAAAAAACTTCACAGCAATGTCAATTTCCAGAAACCTTGATCTGGTTACTCAAGATCAGTCTGATGTAGGAAATGTTTGGACTGTTTGTGCTCAAAGAGCCCAAAAAAAGAAGAAAACAAAATAATTATGAAAAGCTCCACAGCAATGTCTCTCTCCAGAAATCATAACCTGGCTACTCAAAATAATCCAGACCTTACTGTGAGCTGTTTCATGTTGAAAATGTTTTCTTTCAACCAAACTGCACCTGTTAACCGTGTCACCACGCAGAGGGAAGCGTGTATCTCAACCCAATTGCCAGAAAAAATATTTTATGTTTCTGCAAACCTCAGATACGTTACATTTGTACATCATTTTTTAGCTGGTATGTTGAAACTAAACATTTCTCAACAACACTAGTGAGGTGTTAGGCACAAAAATCCTATGGTTATGGTTGAAAAAGGTCATATTTGGCTTAAAACACCAACGTCTGTTGGCACAAAATTAGCTGGAGAAGCAGGGACAGATAAAAAAATAAAACACCCAGGTTCTGTGGTTCAAATGTCACTGAGCAATGTATAGATATGCTGTTAAAGACAGCCAAATTTGGTAAAAACTGCCCAGGGTTGTTGACACAAAACGGTGTGAAGGGTCACCAGAAATCAACCAGTGTTGTTGGTTTCAACAGTGGTCTGCAGCTTGCCTTGGTTAGAGCGCTCGTCCATGAGTAGATGCACGCTTCCTTCTGCACGGTGTTAAGGTTTACAGGTGTAGTTTGGTAGAAAGAAAATAGTTCCTACATGAAACTGCTCACAACAGGGTCTGTGGATTATCTTGAGTAATTGGGTCATGATTTCTGCTAAGAGACATTGCTGTTGAGTTTTTCAAATGTATTTTTTTGGCACTTTGAGC